TGAAGCTTCACCCGATTCTCTCCGTCGGATCTCTTCACTAAGAACCAGATCACGAACATCATCGAACTTCAACTTGTTGCTTCCCGATGAGCTACTCACAGCTGTGACTGTAGCGTTCCAGCTTTCTGGTAGAGAAGAAAGAAGTATCAATGCTCGTACTTCTTCATCAAATTCAATCCCAACTGAACTCAACTGGGTTGTGACTATGTTGAGTTCATTGAGATGTTGAGCAATCCATACAAGCTCTTCTTCAAACGGCATACTAGATTTTCCTTGCCAGTCTTCATGAAGCCTTCTGGTTGCTTCATATAGATCTCCTCATCTAAATCACCATGAAGGAAAGCTGTTTTTACATCTAACTGCTCAAGATGTAAATTCTCAGCAGCTATAATTTTCAACACTAATCTGATTGTAGTCAGTTTCACAACCGGAGAAAAAATTTTATTGTAGTCGATACCTTCCTTTTGCTGAAAGCCTTTGACAACCAATCTTACATTGTAGCGCTTGTTCCCATCATGCTCTTCTTTGATCCTATATATCCATTTGTTATGAAGAGCTTTCTTACCTTGTGGTAATTCAGCTAAGTCCCACGTCTGATTTGACATGAGTGAGTCCATCTCATCTTGCATAGCAGACTCCCACTTGACTGAATCCTTCACCTGTATTGCTTCGTCATAACACTCCGGTTCACCACTGTCAGTCAGCAACAGGTAGTGCAAAGAAGGCGAATAACGCTGGGTTGGCTTAGGAATTCTGGAGGAGCGTCTCACTTCTGACGTGCTTGGTTCTTCTTGAATTGCTTCAGGGCTAGTCTGAACATCCTTTTCAGAAATCTCCTCAAATTCAGCAAATTCTTTTGTTTCAGCTTTTGTAATGGAGCTACTTGATTCTGCAGTTGATTTGTCTTTATACATCACATTCTCATTGAATATGACATCTCTGCTTCTGATGATCTTCCGATTTTCATAATCCCAAAATCGGTAACCAAACTCATCACCACCATAACCAACAAAAACACATTTGTTAGATTTGGCATCAAGTTTACTTCTTTCAGCAGAATCTATGTGTACATAAGAGATACAACCAAAAATTCTTAAATGTGAAAGGTTTACCTCTTTTTTGCTCCAAGCTTCTTCCGGTATTCCACCATCCAAAGGAACTGAGGGTCCACGGTTGATTAGGTAGGCTGCGGTATTGATAGCTTCAGCCCATAGGAACTTGGGCAAGCCGGCATGTAACCTCATGCTTCTGGCACGTTCATTCAAAGTTCTGTTCATGCGCTCTGCTACGCCATTCTGCTGTGGTGTCATGGGAACTGTTTTCTCCATCTTGATCCCATTGTTTGCACAAAACTCTTTGAATCTACTGTCTTTGTACTCTCCTCCATTGTCTGACCTCAACCTCTTTATCTTCAAACCAGTTATATTTTCCACCATGGCCTTCCATTTTCTGAAGGTATCAAAGACTTCTGATTTCTTCTTCAGAAAATAAACTCACACCTTCCTTATAGAATCATCAATGAAGGTGACATAGTACAGTGAGCCTGCAAGAGATGAAACTGGAGATGGTCTCCATACGTCGGTATGAATTAATTCTAACCTTTCTGTCTTGGGTGTCTTGCCAATCTTTGCAAAACTGACTTTCTTCTGTTTGCCAAAGATACAATCCTCGCATAGGCCGACATCTACATTCTTCAGATCCGGCAGCTTCCCTTTTGACAGAAGTGTTTTCATCCCTTTCTCGCTCATATGGCCAAGCCTTTGGTGCCATAGGTTTGATTTTTCATCTGCATCTGTTACTGCAATGATATTCTCTAAGTTAGAGGTTATATAGAGAGTACCACTTTTCTTACCTCGAGCAATGACGAGTGCTCCTTTGGTAATCTTCCATTCATGACCAGAGAAGGTTGTACAATAACCCTCTCCATCAAGTTGTCCCACAGAGATCAAATTTCTTCTAAGGCCAGGAATATGTCTCACTCCTTGCAGCTTCCATGTGGTCTGATTTGGCAATTTTAATCGGATATCTCCCTTGCCAACAATCTTCAAGGTTTCATCATCTGCTAGATGTACCTTTCCGAAATCACCGCTGACGTAGTTCTCCATGATTTCTCGGCATGGGGTGGAATGGAATGATGCCCCTGAATTAAGAATCCATGATTCAATCGGACTGTTGACGCTTAGAATCATAGCATCACCTCCTTCCTCGGTTACGTTGGCAGACTCCTGTGCACCGGTGTTTTTCTTCGGTGTCCGGCACTCCCTCTTGAAATGACCCTTCTTGCCACACTTGTAGCACTTGAAGTCTTTCTTTCCTGATCTAGATTTGCTCCTTCTAGATTTTGATTTGTCGTGATTTGAACTTCTTTCTGAAGTTCTTCCCCTAGACTCCGTGTGTAAAGCTGAGGAGGTTGAAGCTTCACCTGATTCTCTCCGCCGAATTTCTTCACTATGAATCAGATCACGAACGTCATCGAACTTCAACTTGTTGCTTCCCGATGAGCTACTCACAGCCGTGATTGTAGCGTTCCAGCTTTCTGGTAGAGAGGAAAGAAGTATCAATGCTCGTACTTCTTCATCAAATTCAATCTGTAGCGTTCCAGCTTTCTGGTAGAGAGGAAAGAAGTATCAATGCTCGTACTTCTTCATCAAATTCAATCCCAACTGAACTCAACTGGGTTGTGACTACGTTGAGTTCATTGAGATGTTGAGTTGTCGATGCGCCTTCCGTCATTCGCAAATTGAACAGCCGCCTCATCAAGTGAACTTTGTTTGAGGCAGAGGGCTTCTCGTACATGCTGCAGAGAGCCGCCATAAGACCCGCCGTGGTCTTTTCCTTTGCTATGTTGAAGGCAACGTTTCGGGATAGCGTCAATCGGATAACTCCAAGGGCTTGTCTGTCGAGGAGAGCCCACTCTTCATCCTTCATATCATCTGGCTTCTTTCCCGAGAGAGGTTGATACAGCTTCTTCTGGTACAGATAGTCTTCGATCTGCATCTTCCAAAAGCCGAAGTCCGCACCATCGAACTTCTCAATTTTTACCTTCCCTTCGTCTGCAGCCATCGCTCCCACTCGAATCTGACTTCCTCTGAATCGTTTCTGACAATTTCTGCGAACCACCTTGTATTAAGATACCTCTGCCGACAAGTCAGTACCGCCGGCAAAAATTCCACTATTCACAAAATTTACTATTCATGTGAATAGTAACCTTGCAGAAATTTGACAGACGTCACACCCAGAGCTCTGATACCAGTTGTTGGGAAATTACCCAGATTCCCCTATTGCCAGATTTAAGAGAGTAAAATAAATGCGCAAAAATTGAGGGACATGTAAGATTTACGTGGTTCGGCACAAAATTGCCTACGTCCACGGGCTGCTGCAGATCTTTCACTATGAAGAGAAAATTTACAACACCCTCACAAATTTTCTCACAACTCAATCCCAACTCTGAAAATTGCTCTCAATTTTCTCTCACAAAGACTTTTCTCTAAGCCTCTCTTTTCTCTCTCTTATTCTTCTATAAGAGGAGGAGTTTCTGGGATGAGATTTTCCTTAAGAGTTTGAGGTCTATATATAGTGTTTAGAAAATACTATGCATCAATATAAAAATATTATTTTCTGAGGTCTATATATAGTGTTTAGAAAATACTATGCATCAATATAAAAATATTATTTTCTGTGGCGGGGCCCGCGGTGGGGCCCACCCATCTTTTCCTCTTTCAACTCTTTCGGCCACTGAAAGAATATGTTGGCATTTTGTCAATAAAGGGAAGAGGGTTGGTGGCTTTCGGTGGCAGCCAATGTTGACTAACACGTCATGAAATCGACATCCGACATTTAAAACATTGGTCTCACCCATCTTATTATCATCATAATCTCAATAATACACATTCCCACAATCTAACTCAATCCCACATAAAAATCAAAGATCAAACACAAATTCTAGCTCTCGTCGCCATCTCTCATACCTACATTCACGAATCATGTGTATAGAATAACTAAATATTGAGAAATTAAAAATAGATTAATGGAATAGCTAACGAACTTCAGATGAATCATAAATTAAGACACGCTCATGAAATAGATTAATGGAATAGCTGTAAGTAGAGTTCTGGACAAGGCCGCAATCTGAGAATAACATCTGATCAGTAAAAAAAATTATAGCCATCATTCTGGACATTTAACATTGGGATATCATAAAATACTATGATATTAAGACAGTAATGACTATGTTAATGATAGATCAGCATATAAAAAAGATATTTGACAGCTGTCCACATCATGCCTTAACTTAAGGTTAGTAAAGAAGCTCTATAGGTTCACAGGACAGACACTATGATATTAATAGTTTTTTTTATTATAGAACGATGTTTATTAGATGAACGAGTTCGAAGGTTTCAGAAAATATATAACTTTTGCGCAATATTTTGTTCCATCACTTGCAGGTCAAAATAACCGATGGGGATCACCCATAAAGGTGACCTATGATAGTTTCTGATATGTAAGCAATCTTTTATTCTTTGATCCAAAATATTATAAAGCACTATGCATATACATAAACGGAGTTACTTAAGCAAAAAAGAAAACACACACACACACATTTATTAGATAATAACTAAATCACTGGGTTTATGAAAAACTTAATCAAGTAACTCAATCTGCTCTTGCCTCAATGTCTTACCCCAACTCCCTGTAACTAGGCAATTCAACTGTTCAATCCAAGCAATTTATTAGACAGGTGAATCATGTGCAGCAAATTGTGTAGGTTGCTAAACAGAAATCAAGGGCTCCATTTTTAAAATTTTATCACATCAGAATTTTAAGCAACCATCATCCCTCCAAGTAGAGCATGGAACCTAAGAATTAAGTAATGAAACATTAGCAACAATCATTATTCCAATTTCTCATGACAGGTTTTGAAACAATTCTAGACATCAGCTACATGCAAAGCATACACATACCTGTTGGTCATGAGATATGGCTGCCTTCGCCTGACTTTTCCCACACCTAATCTGCCACAAAGGAGAACGATAAGAGTTCTAATTTTATCCAGATAAAAGATACATGTTAACAAAGTTATTACAGAATCATATAGTTAACGGCTGTCAGCAGATCAAACCTGGTTATCCCACGAAGTGGCCACCGAGTAATTTAACTTAGGACTACAACTAAGGCAGGAGACGGAGCCACTGAGTTGAGGTTCCACCTGCATACACAATAGAATGATGTGTGTAACAAGGGTAACACACAGCTCAGTTAAACATGCCTCACAGTTCTGCTAGATAAAATTCAAGCACGTGCATTAGAATTTTGGGAATGCATGCTGTTAAACATGCCTCACAGTTCTGCTAGATAAAATTCAAGCACGTGCATTAGAATTTTGGGAATGCATGCTGTAACAAACATATATCAAACTACATCAATAAAATTCAAGCACGTGCATTAGAATTTTGGGAATGCATGCTGTAACAAACATATATCAAACTACATCATGTGGTTGTAACTCAATATACACTTACCTTGGTGTCTTATCCCAGCTTCCCGTAACTAGGTAATTCAACTGTTCAATCAGAGCAACTTCTTTGATAGATGCATCGTGCACTACATCTTGTATCAGTTGGCCGCCAGACATCAAGGGCCACAGTTTCTCAGTCTTATCACATCCTCTAGTAAACATTGTAGAATCATCATCCTTCAATGTAGAGCACAGAACCTAAGGAATATTAAATAAAAAATGTTAGCAATAATCCTTTTCCCAAATTTCCACGAAAGATTTCGAAACAATTCTAAACATCAGATGCATGGAAAGCATATACATGACCGGTTGCTCATGGATATAAGGACTCTTTTCGCATGACTGCTATCATGACATCCCAGCATCTAACCTGCACATCATTCAAAGAAGAACCATAAGAGCTATCATAACATCCAGGCTGGATATATACATTATCAATGTCATAACATGACCCATAGAGTTAAGAGCTCTTAGCACGAAAAACCTGATTATCCCAAATTGTGGCCACCAAGTAATTTACCTTGGACTGAAACCAATGCTAGAGACAGAATCACTAGGTCCATGCTGCATCTGCATCAAAAATAAGGAAGAAAACATCAGTTTACTGCAACAATGTGACATACACAATAGAATGATGTGTCACACAAAGGTAACATACAGCTCAGTATCTCAACTAATAAATTATCTTTTGGCACACACAAACACTACATGCAAACCATGTGCATGCCTCACAAATCTTCTAGATGGAGTTCACGGATGTACATTAGGATTTCTATTTCTAGAATGTAACCTCTTAGCTATCATACAGTGTTCTTTGCAGATAATGAACAAACAATAAAATATCAGAATTAGGCTCGCATATTGCATATCTAAGAAAATTCAAAATGTTATTCTGTTCCTGAATGATTTGACTAAAGAAAATCCAAAAAATAAAATATGCTTACAGAATCTTGCTTCAGATAAATGTTTATCATAGCCCACAAAACCAAGGAAATGAAAAAAAAATATTAAGAAACACTGAGTGCTTACATGTATTACTGGAATTCATCGATACAACAAGGCAAAAATTCTGCTTTCAGCACTAAAAATAGATGCCACAAAATTCAACCAGCCGTACTTGTTCCAGCCTTCGACCTCAATCAATTCACAACCCTTTTCAATTTGATTATCTCCTAAGCTCAACAACGTAAATTAAACACTCAAGTTGACAAACCTTCTCTTAGGTGCCACAATTACTAAAAATACAAAACATTTCCCGAAAGCGGGTCGGGGTTTAAACGGGTTTCGGACAGAATAAATCATACCTCATAAGACTTGTTAAGTTTCACATTTACCGTGGCACCCATCCAAAAACACCATTTATTTCTGTAAACTCAGCGCTCTAGGAACAAAAAGTTACAAAATCGAAACAAATTAGGCAATATTCATAGATTAAAAACCCTAGAAATTATACCTCAAAGACTTGTTAGGGTTCACAATTTCCGCTTCACGAACTCAGAAAGCGCAATTTTCTCTGTGAACTCAGACGTGTACACATAGAAGGAACAAAATCGCTACAAATTAGAGAAGATATTGAAGAAAAAGAGCAAATGTATTGCTTAAAACCTAAAATTTCAACCAAAACTCTAAAGAAAACAGAAAAGGAGGGAATAAATTACCGAATAGGTTTGCTTCCATCTTCCTCTCTCTCTCTCTCTCCTCTCTCTCTCTCTCTCTGGAATTTTCTTCTTTCTCTCGGCTGAAATAGAGAGGGGGAGGGAAGATTATTTAAAAGACGGGGGTTGACAGCGTAGCGTTCGACCGACGCGGATTTAGAAAGCGGGTCGGGGTTTAAACGGGTTTAGTTTATTAAATGGACGGCCGAGATGAGTTACTAATCTATTGCACGGGGGCGCGTGGCGTAGAGCTTACGCAGGTCTCGAAATAGAATGTATTTTGAATTTCGGATCCGGATGTGGGGTTCGGGTCGGATATTTTTCCAGGCCCAAAGGCGAGAGCACAGGTTTAGGCCCGTTTTAATTTCACTCCTTTATTATGGGGTTTCGATTTGGTCATCGGGAGCGAAAGCATGTTGCCCTGAAAGCCCAAAACAATGCTATTTGCATCAAAACATGTGACAGGGCATCCAATCCACCGTTTAAAGGGTTAAAAAAATTGATATTTCTAAATATACATTTTAGATGAAATATTTAGGGCCTGTTTGGATTTGTAGGGGGTGAAGGGAAGTTAAGAGAAACTAAGAGAAGGGAAGGGAAGGGAGTTCATTTCCCCTTGGTTACACCCCGATTTGGGGGGTAACAAATTTTATACTATTAGGGGGTGAACCAAGGGGAACTAGGGTGAATTAACTTCACCTCCTAAGTGTTCCCAAACAAGGTGAATGGAGGTGAATGGTTCCCCTAACTTCCATTCACCCTCATTCGGTGAATGGAGGTGAATGGTTCCCCTAACTTCCATTCACCCTCATTCCCCTCAATCCAAACAAGCCCTTAAGGACTGAACAAAAAAAATCAGGGAAGGGGAAAATTCATGTATATATACATTTCAGAAAATGACCCCTGAACTAATCGCTAAAGTAATAGAAAAGCTCCTTCCAACATGTAGTTCATCATTGAATCTGCGTATAGCGACGAGTCTTTATCACAATAATACTTATGTCATATTGGATAAAACTCAAATACTTTGTATATTAGGTAAAATAACCTTAAGGGCACTAGTAAGACACATAAGAAACAAGGCCCAAGTGATATACTCTCTTAACCAGGCTAGAGTTGGACCAGGTAGGGGACGGTTCATCTCTGGCATGATTTTAAGGCTAAAAAGTAAACTAAATAAAGCTAGGCCATAATTGGACCAAAAGTTGCCAAAATAATAAGACAAAATCGGGCCATGTTTAAACCTGGCCCAATTTCAGTGACTTGGCAAACAACCCCTAAGACTGGAGGGACGTAATCACCAGCGGAGTAACCTCAACCAAGCCCACATGCAATCCTCTTAAGCCTTAACACTAGGGATTGGGCTTTTGGATTCGGTCCTTCCAAGGGCCCAAAGCCTTGAGCAAATTATGATCAAAATTCCATAAGCCCAATTGCTAAGCCAAAAGTCCAGTTCTAAGCGGAAAATTTCGAAGTTATGGGTTCAGAATTTGTGTTCGATCCGAACCAGTAGCCTATGCCTCAAAACTGGCAGATCATAACCACTCGACTTGAAAATTCTATCTTTTGTGCACTCTGTTTTATGGAATTTCTCCTATTAAATATAAATTTTAAATTCAACTCAAACTCCAATAATTCTCCCTTAACGTTTTCCCTAAATCCTAGAGTTTGTATTTTCATTGGGTTTTGAGGCTTTTTTTCTCCCCCAACTCTAGACACAATTAGTAGTGTATTCCCTAAACCCTAAAGGACAATCTTTTCCTCTTTTCATTCTATTGATATTATTATTATTATCATTATTATTATTATTATTTATTGTTTAATTATTTCTGCTTTTATTTCTAGTAAAAAGCCTCCTGCAGAATTGTAGGATTAAACATTTTTTTACTTTCAATTGTCTATGTAGGCAATGCACTTTAAATATGTGTTTTCCTTAATAATTTTTTGTAGATCGTCACGTTTACAAATTTTTGCCACCACCCCCTCCCAAGTTTAAATCTTAGCTATGCCACTGGACGTAATAGCTAGAAATAATATTAAAGGAAAGATTAAATTGTGCTTTCGGAATTGCTTCAACACGAAATAAGAGACCATCTCTTTGACATATAAAACGTTCTAAATTCATACTTAATCATCTTTGACTAAATCTAAATCTATACTACTACAAAAGAGGATTGGGGTGTTAAAAAAAATTTCCCTCTCAGATTTTAATAAATTCTATTCATGTCATTATATCTAATTAATCTTTCATTAAATAAATATAACTACTTATTAATTATGCACCCCCTCACATTCCTAAATTAATATAATTATCAATAATATTATAAATAATAATTATTTAAAAATAATAAAATAAAATAATTCATAAATAAGTATACACAATTATTAGTAGTAACCAATTACTTTTTTATAATGCTTATTTATAAATTATTAAAAATAATAGTATAAATAGAATAATATATTACTAATACTATTAAGAATTATTCTATAATTCAATAACCAATAAAATAAATAGAATAAATTTTGAATCTTATAAATAATGTCATTACTTTTATAATATTACATAAATTACTAATTGCACTATTTATTTAGTATTATATTATTAAAATTTAAATAAATATTTTAATATTAATATTAATGCTACAATTTAAACTTGGTAATGATAATAATGTCATTACTTTTATAATATTACATAAATTAGTAATTGCACTATTTATTTAGTATTATATTATTAAAATTTAAATAAATATTTTTGTAACGCCCCGCCCCGGAATCCCGGGGTTGGTACGCTATTAGATCTGATAGACTGACCTCACAAACCACCACATGTCTTTTCAGCACGTTTTGTCCTCACTCACGTGTTCCCTGGAGAACTTCCCAGGGGGTCACCCATCCTAGAATTTCTCCAGGCCAAGCACGCTTAACTTTGGAGTTTCTAAGAGTTGGATTCCCGAAAAGAAGATGCATCTTGGTGGTGTGAGTATTCTAATCAAATCTATCAATACTAATCACATCACCCTCTCAAGGGTTGGGGTATTACATACTCCCCCACTTAAACTCACAACGTCCTCGTTGTGCCAAATCATATCATCCAAGACCGTACCATCCGTGTGAGATTCTAGAGGTGGCTCCTACGGCCTCAAAAGGTGGCTCCCGCCCTCTCGACGTAGCACTTTGCGCCGCATAGCACTTAGCTCTCACAATTCCGGTTGGCTTTGCTCTGATACCATTTGTAACGCCCTGCCCCGGAATCACGGAGTCGGTACGCTATTAGATCTGATGGACTAGCCTCACAAACCACCACATGTCTTTTCAGCACGTTTTGTCCTCACTCACGTGCTCCCTGGAAAACTTCCCAGGGGGTCACCCATCCTATAATTTCTCCAGGCCAAGCACGCTTAACTTTGGAGTTTCTAAGAGTTGGGTTCCCGAAAAGAAGATACATCTTGGTGGTATGAGTATTCTAATCAAATCTATCAATACTAATCACATCACCCTCTCAAGGGTTGGGGTATTACAATTTTAATATTAATAATAATGCTACAATTTAAACTTGGTAATGATGGATAACTAACATTTTCACAAAAAAAATTATTTAATATTAATAATAATGCTATAATTGTTAATGATAGTATAATAAAAATTTCAAAAATATTTATAGTCTAAATTATTTAAGAGCATAAATAAAAAAATTAAATTAGATAAATATTTTATAGTATATTGAAAGTATAATTATTTTAATAATATTAATTAAACTAATAATTATAATATTAAATAAGGCAAATTATAGTAAAACCCTATGAACTTTTAGTATTTTGTAGTAAGTATACGCTATGAACTTTTGAAATCACACTAAACACCTATTAACTTTTGCAAAAAGCCCCAATACCTTTTACATAAATTAAACCAAGCCCCCAATAATTTTCAATATGACTTTTTATGCCATTTTCTAGTTCTAATTTATAAGGGTTGTCTACAAAATTTAAAAAGTTATTGGAGATCTTCTTTGAAACAGAAAAGTCATTAGGAGTTTAGTGTAATTTTAAAAGTTCATATTGGCTGAAAGTTCATATAGGTTAGTATAATTTACCCTATTAAATAATTATAATGAGAAGTAGCTATTACACTATGTTGTAGGCATAAAGTATAACTATCTAGGAAATATTAGTAAAAAGCTAGTAAGATTAATGCAGCTTAGTTAATTTAGAGTTAAGTTAATAACTTTTAAGTTGGAGGGACATATTTAAGAGAACTTATAGATTAGCAGTTTCATCTAAGAACAATTTTAGATTTGAGGACTTATTAAAAAAAATTAACAATGGGCGATCATTATAAGAAAGACATTCAATTACAGTAACTACATAATAATAATTAATTTATACATTTCTTTTTAAATAATTTTATTATACAATTTTATTTATTAACATCTAGTTTTATATTTAATAAAAAATCCAAAACTTAAAATATGTACGTTTACGTGCAAAGCACGTGCATTATACTAGTTACATATAAAAGAGGAATGGGGTGTTAAAATTTTTGATTGCCTTTTTTACCCATCTCAAATTTAATATTCCCACTTTAATCTCAATTTTAATATTCCCACTTTACTTTAATTAATTAAATTTTTTACCCTCTAATTAATTGCTTAGTAAATTTTCCACCATGTATTCTAATCTCTAATCTCTTTCATATTCCATCGCATCTTGTCAAAAACATTTATTTACTTCTTATATTCCCCTTGCTCTTATAATCTAAAATATGTTCTATAATGTTTTATCGCCTCTAATCAAGGGAAAACATCTTCATCCACCGATCTCTAAGTTACATCTTCTCTCTTTAATTTCAATTTTTTTCCTTGCGGCATCTAAGGTTTTGGCTCTCTGTGTTTTCGTAAGAAGGTGGCGAGGAGGAATTTCAATGTGGCGAATCACTATGGATTGGGATTGCTAAGGTTGGGGTTGTTTTTATTTGTTTGAGTAGGGGTAATTTTTTGTTGAATTGGAGTAAATTGGTGTTGAATTGTATAACAAATTAGATTGAAAAGTGGAGGTGTTATTGTTGTTGGGCTTGTGTTTTTGATTCTTTGTATAACTTCATAAGAATT